ATTGCCAAGCCTATGTTGATGAGGAGCAAATGAAGATGCTTCAGTTATTGATGAACTTTGACAATGTTAATGGTAAACTACTCAAATCCATTATATTTCCTTTTCACCTTGACCTTACTATGTTAATTAAGGTAGGGAGAGGAGGCAAAATCAGAGAGATTATGCTAAATTTCTTCTCTCAATTACCTTCACAGGGGAAAAGCAAACTTTATATCATAAACTTCTCATCTTAATCAGGTACACAAAAATGTACCATGGTTGTCTTTATTTATGAAGACTTGCATGCATGTTTTTTTTTTCATCAAAAATCCATGCAGTTTCTTAACACCGTGTAGTGGGTTCTTTAGTGGGTGTAAAATTCAGCTTTTTGCTTGCTTAGAGGTATGCCAATAATTTTGGTGTAACTTATTTTGGTGGACATGGGGTTCCAAGTCAGAAGAGTGCTTCAGGTGCCTTAGATATGTAGATACATGTTTAAATACCAATTAAAGAGGTATAACATTTAATAACAGATTGATCACAGTTATTTTTCTTGTGTTCAGTACTAGCTTACATGTATAGGCAAGGGTGCAAATTTTAACGATAAAATTAAGTTTTAGCAGGCTATTACAAAAACTACTAAAATAAGCCAAAGTAAGCAACCCACTAAAAATTCCTGCTATATGGTATTCAGTTATTTGGAACACTTAATAAATCTTTCTTCCTGCTTTGAAAATTTCATAACCATTTTATACAAAAGTATAAAAAATTTTCCATCTCTATCAACAGCCCCATAAAAGGATATCTTTTAAGCACAAAGCAATAATCAATTAATATGCACTGTACTTTCTCTGAAACACTAAAGATGAAATAAGAAGCATCAAATTCTCAGTAAGTAAGAATTGATCAACCTCATGAATAAGTTTTATGGAAGTTGCATATGCAGACTGCAAGCATAAACATGAATTATTCTCTCTCCCCAATATATTCTTGACATTTCAAGAATGAATAATACACATCCTAAAATTTTGTAGTCAGACACTGTCTGTCAATGAATTTATGTGCAGGATTTGGATCATGGATAATGTGTACTGCATCACTGAAAAGACATGCCTTAGTCATGCCTTCATTGTAAAATAATTAACTTATGTAATTACGTGTACATATAAACTAAATTTCTTCCACCCCCCTTAATTAATGAATTGGAAATTACTCACAGCTGGTTAAAAAAAGTTTGGCACAGGAAGGCAGTAATGATTCAATGTTTCACAATTGTCTGTAAGGAATAAGCTAATACAAGAGGAAAAGACTGTGAATTTACCCTACATCTCAAAGAAGCAATTTCGAAATGATCATGTTGATGCACTGTAGAGCAAGTGCTTCAGAAGTTTAAATGTGCAAGAATAAATCAGAGAGCATTATCTTTCCTGTGATGTAAGAGGAAACACATAGCAGACTAACAGGTTGCCAATAAGAGTTGATATAATCGCCATGTGAAATACCACCCCGTTAAAGACCAACAAACCTGGCATTAACTTTCGCTCAACAAAGCTGAACTTTCAGACTAAATACATGGCTTTTTGTTATAAAAAAAATTCTCTAAATCAGCTAAATACAGAAGCGCACTGTGGTATGATGTAATGTTCCAAAGTCTTCAGAACAAACAGGAATCTTCTCATTTTCTTTTGAAGTGAGAGGTCGGTTGTTGAGAGCCAAAGAAACATTTACACACATATTATATATACACACGGTAGCAAATACCTGCGTTTTGGAATCTGAGTCAGCATTTGGCGAGAGGGGAGGGCCGCTGTAGTTAATTTTCTTAATGAATCACATTGCAATAAATTAACTTCCTGCAAACTTCCAGACTGATCCAGATAACTAACAACCTGTTATAAATTTCACTTCCTTCTGACAAAGTGCAGTGAAATCAGCAGTTCCTAGCTTTAATATCACTCTTTCTGCAGACATGGTATTTTCCCTCATCTAGACATTCATTTAATTAAATTTTACATTAAGACTTTGCAACAATCTATATTCCCCCTAGCGTATGATTATCAAGTCATGAATAATATTTTTGCAACAATATTTGGTGCAAAATTTCTCTCACATTACTTCATAAAATTTCAGTAATCTTTTCATAATTTTTCTCTGCCCATCTCAAATGAGTTTATATCTTCTAATCTCATTCTGGAGTAAATATACCTTCAAGACAAACTAAGCAAGCTAAGATCATCTATCTTTGTCAGGCAAACTTTTCTATAGCTGTGCTTAAAACCATTTGTCTTTTAATCCAACATGAAAACAAATAGGTGCAATGTATGAAGCCATTTTAACAAAGAGGTAACCTTCAAAAAGAGTCATTGCAAAGATAAGACCTGGGTACTTCATGCAGAAATCATTAATATCCTGTCTTGAAACATAATTAATTATCAAAGTTTCAATGTACAAAAATAAAGTTTTCTAAAGGACCTCCCCTTGTTTTATTCCCTTGAAATCTGATTCAGACTCACAAAATGTTTCATCTTTTATCATAATATATATATACTATTAAAACAAAGTATTTCAGAATAATATTCATATTTTATACCATTGCCATTTGCCAATATTATATCCATTTATTTGATAAAGCTAAACTACAACTATTTGTTTGCAAAATCTGGCTTAAAACAAGTTTAATATATCAGAGAGATAATATTTCCCTCATGAACTACATATCAATTGTTTATGTATAGCATTTGTATGAAACTGGGTTTAGTTCTTCAATGTCTTTTTAATGCAGTGCCAAGCAAAAGTTCAACAAAAAATATGTATTAAAAACAAAACATTCATGCATCCTTGGCAAGTCCATCCAGATAACCGAAAAACTCAGACAGGAAAATTAGACTGGAAGAATGAAATCCTAATTTAGGTTATCTAACAGACTCCAAATGCAAATACAATACATTCACATTATGATCAGATGCTTTTACTTAATTCTTGCATTTATTTTGATATCTTAGGCATCAAAAAAAAAAATTTAATAACGATAAATTAATTTGTCCCCCAATATGCTTTGGTTATTGCCATTTGCACTCATCTTGTCAACAAAAATTACATAAACATGACAAATAAAAACACAGATAACAGATAACAAAGGGTGGTCAACATAAACTTGGTCACTTTTAGTGCCACTCAATAAACACTAACCCACTCTTACACAAAGGCTGGGCCAATTTATCAGGGGTTACCACACAAGTACTGATAAGAAGTGATGAAGAGTGCATTTGATGTGTCCAGATACTTTAACATGGGTACACACAGACCACAGTTGAATCATGTTCCAGTATTGTCTAAATTGGCTTTCCGAGGTTGATTTGATTATTTAATAAGGGGTGGCAAGAATTCTAAAATCATTTCTGTGTAATACATGTTTCTTATAGATAAGGTCTACAAACTTAAGATATGAATATTCCTTTAACCCACATAGATGTCATAAAATGAAAATCGCATGAATTCTTCATCAGTTTACTTAGGGAATGTTTGTAATATTATAATGAAATACCTCAAGATAAAAGAATAAAGGAGATGACAAATTAGTATGTTATTGTGGCTTTTTTTATTTCTATATTACCGGTACTTATGAACTTGAAAAAAACTCGTGCAAAAATCCTTAAAAACACTCAGGCAGATATAGAATGCAAAATTCATGAATAAATGAAAATACCTAGTATATTTCAAATATATATAAAAATAGAGAATCATTATTTGACTGTTCCTTTGTGCATAACGAATTTTGAATTTTCTGCACATATTTTTAATCAGGGAAAAGATAAAACAAATATTGAGATCAAAGAATATACTGCAGTATATCAATTCTGATTATCCTTGTTACCATGTATGTATTTGTTTCACAATCTGATTTATCAAAATATATCTTGAATAATTCATGACAAAATTAAAAACAAGACTTAACTGTTTGGTTAACTGGTTACTTGGAAAAAATTATAATTAACCAGTTACAAAATTATCGGATTGCCATCCCTGAGTAGTACTAAATATTAAGTGATACAGCACAGACCATAAGGTCCACATAATTATATGATATCCTATAGGTGCTGAACTTCCTTAAACATTTGATGAAAAAATACCTGAGCTGTGAAAATACCACACAGTATTTACATAAGCAAGGCAATCAGAATTCTGAGGCAAGATTACACAAGAAGATTCTTTGTGACCCAGACGGCTTGTTGGGAATTAGCCAATTGCATGGATTAGCAGGGTGTCAACTTTTCTCAATTTAGACTCCTCTGTTTTTCACATTTTTTTTTCTTTTCGGTTCAACCCTTGAAAAAATTCAATACGTCTGTAGCTTGAAACGCTTCCAAAGCCATTTTCATCACTTAAAAGAAAATTAAACAAGATCGAAGTGACTTATACGCACTCTCTATAGCCTGATGTACGTAGTCGTGTTGAAAATCAAAAATATGATTGGAGCTGATAAAATTAAAAACGAGGTGATTATAACTGATTATAGGGATAAAGCTCTTACGACAACTAGGTCTGAATTACATAAAATTATATTAAATTTTCGTTTCCATTGCAGAGAGAATATGTCTGCAAATTTTCAGAAATCCACTCCTAAGTAAAAATCCACGAAACCATGCACATTCAATTATGGAATATATTAATCATTTAGATTTACCAAAAGTTAGGAAGACCATCAACTTCCTCTGCAAAGCAATGTGACATATGTCACTTCCGGTGCGACACAGTGTAAAACTAGGATGTGACAGCAACCGTTTATGTTAGATAAATGTGAAACGATGTTTTAAGAAAAATAAATTTAAAAAAAAATTAACAATAAGAAAAATAGATTTATTTAAAATTTAATAAAATTTTTGGAGATTGAAATGACAGTATATCGTATTTAAAAAGTAAAGTTTAAAAGAAACATAAAATTTAAATATAAGAATTCTATCAAATATATAAAAAAATTTTATCTAAATTCCCTAGTATATTTTAAATATGGATATACCTACCGCATGTTATAAGGAGTAGGCCTAGAGTTGCGATGAGTCTTCGTATAAAGTATCCGTAACCGAATGGTCCCATGCCTGTTCCAACTGGAAAATTTGGTCGGATTCCTTTACATAAAACATGTCTCTGATCCCTGTATCCCAAATGTGAGACCTCTGTAACTGTTTTTTATCCCCCTAGTATTGGGGGACATTACACCGTAAAATTGTCGTGTCTTGTCTCTCTCTCTTTCGGTTCTCGACTCCCTCTTGTTTGAGTTCTCCTATAGTTGTTAATTTTCGGATGAAGAGACACCCGGTTTCCCTCTTCTCAGCTAGCAGGTAAAATATGTAGGTAAAATACCTTAATGAGAAAATTTAAAGAAGATGAGTTTTATATCTTGTGTTGAAAGTCGAGTTGACGTTGAACTGATAAGACTATTTGTCTATTTTGATAACATTTTGTTAAATCCCGCATTATGATTCAGAGAACACATTGATTTGAACGTGATGCAATAGACTATGTGATTAAATCCATAGAGGCCTCCTTCCATAAACAAAATGAAACTGAAAATCTTTGATCTTTCACGTACCGCGCATCCTAATTTTCTCTACATTCCATATGAGTTTTTTCATTCACTGATTTAGAACCGATACACCGCATAGAGTATTGGTAGGACAAGATAACAAGTGGTTCCAGAACAACGAGATATTCCAAAATATTATATAATACGTAAATTTATCTCACTCTAATATTGTGCAATCATTCATCATCCTCTGTGTAATACCATTTTATTTTTAAATCCAGGAAAATTTATTTTCTCACTTAGTTATCTCTGTGATAACGCATCCCCACCTCGGTCCATTAGATATGTAAAAATGAACTATTGAGGATCAAATAAAGTGTAAGTCCCAAACTGCCGGCGCTGAGAAAAGACAAACGTACAGACAGGCACGCGCATTACAGCAATCAGCTGATTACAGACACCCCCTCCTTTGAGTCTTCTCCATTCGCTGTATATTTCGCCGTCTAAATACTTGACAGGCACAGGAACATCTTTAATAAGCGTCTGCAGCCATAAAGACCGCATCTCACACGAACAAAAAAAATATTGTCGATTGTCAATTCTTATTCAGGAATTATAGCAAACCAAAACAGAGAGAATCAAGAGTCGAACTCGATCCGATAGTGATTAAAATTCAATACTTGAAAGCCTAAAAACATCATTCCAAAAAAAAAAAAACCATTTTGATTCGTAAGACTTATAGATGGTATTAAAAATGAACTCCAAATATCATGCAATTATCAGCTTAATAAAAATTACAATCTTAAGAATCTTTTATCCTTAGCAAGAACTTATAGTGTTATTTAGCGAGAACTCCGAGGAACAAAGCCATTTGGGATATAGCCTAATGATATGTAAATATTTAATGAAATCTATCTCACCTTTCACTCTTTCAGCAATATTGCTACAGTATTGCCTCTTTCCCAGTACGAATGATTGCCAATTTTTCCTAAAGCATACGTTTCACATGGTTTCGTCATGTCTATAAATATTAAGGTTTCCCAATCATGCTGCGGATGCTATCGAATTTCTTTGTGCATTTTCATCACCACATGCTGTAAGACCTATTTTTGGTCGATTTTAATTTAAAAGAAAGAACACGAGATTCGACAATAGATCACAGAGTCGTGGGCTGCGATGACTTCACATCCTTGATTCATTTAAACAACGAAATGGTTCCAAAATTGCAATGAATATATGCTCACACTAAAACACTTACTCCAGCAAGCACGTTAATGAATGAAAACTCATTGCCATGCGTTAACTGTCATGTTTTTACTTGAGTTGTCAAATATCGACGATAAACCCCTGAATTTGTACCAGATCCAATGATAGCAGGCTGCACCACTCCCCACTCATGGCATCAATTAATACATTGTATTTTTATAACAAATCAAATTTTAAAGATGCCATGTATTGTGGAAAACGGCGTTTCGGGGACAAGGAACACTGTGATTATCTAACTAATTAAAAAATCAGTATTACTGTGTCAAAATTTCAAGAATAAGATGTAAATCAAGCTACAAGAAAATAAATAATTTGGAATGTGACAAAAATATGCTCCGCATATCTCAGTGTAGTGAACGAAACTTGATCAACTCAGTGCATACCTGAACTACATGCTCTGCATAAGATTTCTTGAAAAAAAATATGTACAGTCCTTTATATATCCAATCAAATATAAGCATTTACCATTTCTCATTTACAAAAGTAAGTTTTGTTACTTGCTTATGTTTTTTTTTATATAAATACCGACAAGACTTTTTTGAAACGTGTTTAATGAAAAAAGTACGCGTATATGATTTTATTTAACAGCACATTATTTCAATGTATTTTTTACCATTGACCTTGACCTTTAAGATATGACACTGAGTAAAAATCATACATTGAAGCCATTTTATCAATAACATACGAAAATTTGAATGTATTCCAGTCAACGGATTCCAGAATTATGACCCGGACATGAGTTAAAAAATTTCATTGTATGAGACCTTTAAAATACTTTTGACCTAGATTCTAGATACATCTTTAGGTTTTTGTACAGAAAAAACTTAAATTTCTACCAAACTCTAAATACAGGTATTCATATCCATGACAGGAAATTAATTTAAATACGCAGTACATAATCACCTGGCAGCGGCCCTGACCTTTCCGAAAATTTGAATGTTCCAATCAAGAATTACGATGTCCACGATTTTGTGACAGAAAGACAAATAGACAATTATAGTGACTTTTTCACTGGTGGAGGAGAACAGAGAAAAGATGTTATCTCCCCTTGAAAGCAATTAGTATGGGTTTAAACATTTCACGGGAAAAAAATCTTGCCCAGCATATCATTGGCTTTGAGGTCAAGAACAATGTTTTATGTAGGTCATGATGAATTATCGTACATAAATAACCTTAATAATGATGATGAGACATCAGCTTGCCAAATATCATGTATAATATCCAGAGACTGAAATACTTACTATTCTGATCATGATATACATGTACTTCTAATACGACCCTAATGTCAAAATCCACTGTCATAAGTTTTTCATGACAAATTAATGAGGAAAATCATGTAAGATGATTATGGCCTGTACATGCTTATTCATAAAAAAAAGAACCTCCGAAAATTAATAAATGATTTAATCTAAAGTCAAAGGTCGAGGTCATTTCATTGATGATACATCTCCTTGCCAAATATTTGAGACTTTGAAAAATAAAGAAGCATCCTTACAGTGCTTAGCACAAACTATTTTTTTTTTTAAAAGGGAACAAACATTTTGTTAACTAAAATATATAAAACATTTTTGTGATGATGATAATTTTCTAACGGAAGATCGAAATTTTAGTGTACTGTACGGGGTAAAACTAGAGATAACTCATTCCTGAATATGAAAATTACACCGGAAGCAAGGTGATTTATCAAATCTTTTATAAAGGGCAAGGTAATCTGTTGGTCATAACGTTACAGTTACATGTATATGTGTGTCATAAAGTTATATGACACATAACCTAATAATGAAAAATGAAATAAAAATATGTAAAATAAAAAAAAAATTTAAAATAAAAATGTAAAATATGAAAGTCCTATAATAAATGGAAAAAATACAGAAATAGGACTACTCAGTTGATATTCAAAGGAAACCAGTAACCTCTTTTTGAAGGGAAGACATAGAATATACGCCCTTGCTCTTCGATCTTTAGTTTAATGAATTAATGTCAAAAATATCCTGCTCATATTTTCTCTCTATGTATATCTAGCAGGTCAGGAAAATCTTGGTAAAGGTCTTCAAAAATTCCAATAAAAATATTTTTTTTCCTTTTATTTTATTTATTCCCAGCCCTTGAAAACAGATTCGAACTTAATTTGAAGTGAAGTAAAAGTGAATGGTGTATTAAGAGAAGGAAGTTAATGTTCGATCAAGCATATCTTGAATTGGTGTAAATGTTTAATCCTCCAATTTCGTTCATTCACCGAGAGGAATGGTAAAAGACAGAGGATGCGCTAATTACAGAAAAATTCCACACACCGTTACAAGGTGAAAGCATGAATGGTTTTGATGAAACCTAAAACAGAATTTCAAGAAAAATAATAAATAAGTAGGCACACGTCTTACTGACCGGAAAACGCACGCACGTGCTGGCCACAGGGGCGGTATATCTGTTTTACCATTGTGCATTAAAATAAAACGGTTTGAAGCGTGGGAAAAGGAAGTTCAAGAGAGGAAAAGGAATTTTGGGAATCATTTAACAACATTGATAGGAAACCAAAGTGCGGGCTAAATTTTATTGTTAATGGACGAGATTTCGGAGCAACGGGATACTTGACCTGTAAATTAGACATTTGTAAAAGATGTTCATTTGTGTGTCAGATTTCTGAAATTTCGTGATTTTTTAATATTTTATTTTGTATATCTACCACCTAGTGAAAAAGGCATTAACCATTTTTTTGCTGCGAAATCGATTTTTCAATTTCTCTTATGTTCTTCAGTGAATGGCATTGAATGAAATCACATCCGTACCGTCTTTAATCCACGGAACACATAGATTAATATGTACTAAATGAAGATCACGAAATGTCTCTCGTGCGCAGGGATTTTCAAATTTATATAAAACACAGAGTGCCATCATGGTATTTATATGTTAGCAAACCATATACAGATACAGAGAACAAAGAATCATAATACACACTTGAGAACCATTCATTGCTTAGAATCCTTAATTGAGTGTGCTCTACACTGTATAGATGGAAAGCGCTCAATAAATACGTTTATTAATTAATCAGTCAACGTTGACATGAGTTTTGGAAACATCCGTGTTTTTTGTTTTATTTTGGCGAAAGCTGAACAGATTCCTTTTTTTTCTTAAGTACCAACAGGCAGACTCTAGCTTTCTGGTTAAAATAATGTTAAGGTCAACCATTTCATGTCATTCATAGGCGAAGCGTGATGGTCCATGCTGGAAGTACTCCGCGCACCTTTGATAACCTTACAGAATATACTGGTGAGCACTTTCTTCTTGTGTCTGGTCTGGGCAGACAGATTATCTTTTATGTGCCTTTTATTTTCCCTAAACACTGCAACAATCCCCGTGAGAAAGAAGAGGCTCCACAGATCGATAATGGTTGTTGATTTTTACAATTCATTATCACTCAGTTTAATTTCTCCCCTGGTATTTAGGAGCGTTGAAATTCTCCAGAAAGCTAAACAACTATAAAAGCAGTTGTTCATATAGAATCATGTAAATAATGGTTTAATATACCATGGAGAATACGGATATTTTCTCAGTTCTCGGATCAGATGATAAATCAGTCCTCGTGTTGACTTGCAAAAATCTTACAGCCCTTAATTGATATGCGAATAATGATACATTTTCAGCTTTTTCATGAAATATAGTTTAGGACATTCCAAGTTTATTCTATGTTTAACGTCCGCGTGCGCCTTGGATTTTGACACCCAAGATCAGAAAAAAATATTAGGAGTTCTGAAATTTACTTATTTATTTTGTTTTTGGTCAAAATCCTTCAATTCTGACAATTTCTTTCTATATTTTTCTACAATCTGTCATATTAGATATTAATCATTTAATTCCTGATTTTCTAAGGAATAGATCTCTATGAGAAAAGGAGATTAATGAAATGAAATCCTTTAAATAACGTCGTTTTTCTGACTATAAAGTCTGTATTTTAATTTTTTGGCTTGTGTTTTTTTTTTTAATGAATATATAGGTAGGTAGGTTTTTGAAAGATGAGTGGACGCTAAGCAGAGAAAAAACTTTGAATGGCCTTATACATTATCAAAATTAAAATTGTTTTTGAGATTCCATGTTATTCAGTCTAAATTTTCTCAACAGGGGGAAATCTTAAAGTACTCAATTATTCAAAACAAAACAAAAAAAATTTCATTTTATATATTGAAACTAAAGACTTACTAATCCAAGTTGTCGTGGAAACTGCCATAAATAAGAGAAAATATTCGAAACGAAATAAAATTTTCTCAAAAGTTTATGGTTTGATTCTGACGAAAATAGAAGAAATAGCGCAGCCACTGTTGAGAAATGCTGATAATTTACGATTCATTCATAATAAATGCTGAACCCGAAATCTTACAAACTATCTATAGATGTCAAGAGCAGTTTTCAAGAAAAAAGACAGTAAAATTTGACGTTAATATCCATCCACATCCGTTCCAGCTATTAAATCTGCATGAAATTTCCCTCGACTCCTCCTAGTATCAAACCAGAGGGGCATCCATAAATACTCAGAGACAGAGTTTAAAAGACATTCCAAATACCACAACCTGGGGTTACTGACTTATGTATTACCGATAACCCCTGTGACAAATTGTTCCATATCGTTCAGCTTTGATCATACATTTATGAGCTGTTGAAAACGGAACATAGAATCCATCAGAGTTAAGTCTTAAAAGTTTATGATATTTACAAGTGAATTTTGGAGTATTTCCCCATCACACATGCAAATACAGGATGCATTTGGCTAAATCTTGTTCTAAGAAATTAAAATTGCTGATGATATATTGCCTGATATTAAAGTGTCTAAAAAATAAATAAATAAATAACAGAGAGTAAATTATGTTTCGAGGTGACGATTTCAAAGAAATTGGTGCAT